CTGCACGCTCCCCCTCGGCTGCACGCTCCCCCTCGGCTGCACGCTCCTCCTCGGCTGCACGCTCCTCCTCAGCTGCACACTCCCCCCGCTTCCTGCTTCTCCAGGAGGCTGGAGTTTAACACAACAATGCCTCTTCTCCGTTGGCACCTTTAGTACTGGTACAGCACGGTTCTACTTAGCTCGGTACACGTTGTGTTTCTGTTATACTTTCAGTACCGGCTCTAGTGGGCCGGTTCAAAGTTCAAAAACTGAGTCATGCGCTTCACCAGCTGGTGGCGGTGAAACGATGAAACAGGTTTCAGAGCAGGATGACAATTTATTTTGAAGTTTCAGGTAAATTAAAAAAGAATAGAGATTATTAAAACGATCAGATTAAATTATAAATACACTACGTGGCTCTGCCTTCACTCACGAGCTTAAGTGACATCCCATTCCTCATCCATCAGGTTCAATATGACGGTGGTCCAGCCAGTGCAGCTAGAACAGCTTCAACTCTTCTGGGGAGGCTGTCACAAGGTGTACGAGTGTTTACGGGGATTTTTGATCATTCTTCCAGAAGCTCATTTGTGAGGTCACATACTGATGTTGGACGAGGAGACCTGGCTCTCAGTAACCATGTTAGTGGAGGAGCTGCAGGAGAAACTTGTGTGGGCCGCAGACAGGAGCAGCAGGTGCTAAATAATTTTAAATCATTTATTTTAAATAAAGATTCCATGCTGATCGTGCGGCTCATCCATCCATCAGCCAGTTGTGTGTCATGTCCACTTTTATTTTGCTAAACCGCGAGTCAGCGAAAAACGAACCACGAAGTAGCGAGGGACGACTCTATATCACAATTTATCTAAAAATATTGAGATATTAATTTTGGTCCATATCGCCCAGCCCTAACTCAAACAGAACCATTAACTGGGTCAAACATGTCAGATAACCAACTCCTTTTATCTTGAAAACTTACGACTTCAGCTGGAAACAGAGAACCAGGAGGAGGAGGAGAGGAAGGAGGAGGAGAGGAAGGAGGAGGAGAGGAAGGAGGAGGAGAGGAAGGAGGAGGAGAGCAGCTCCTGTTAGTCACATCAAGTGTTCTCCTCGTCAGCTGCTGCTTGTTTTTGTCTAAAACCTCCAAAATCTAAAACAAGTTCCTGAAGAACTTTGTGCTCAAAACAACCTGCAGCTGGCAGAACCTCTGAACATCAGAACCTCTGAACACCAGAACCTCTGAACATCAGAACCTCTGAACATCAGAACCTGGGAACATCAGAACCTCTGAACACCAGAACCTCTGAACATCAGAACCTCTGAACA